ACTATTATGCAAAAAACTGGTTTACTTTATTTTTTTACTATCAAAAGGAATTCCAAATACTCAAAAATTCAAAAAAGGGTTATATCAACCAGATAATATAATGCCTTATATTTATGTATTAGTTCAAAATATTTCAGAATTTATGATGATTCATAATAAATAGGGATCAGTTGCATTTTCATGTAATGGAGTTGAAAAGAAAAATCACCAACAAGTATCATATTTTTTTTGAAAAACAATGCAAAATAATAATGCAATTTTTGAAATATTACTGCATAAAAATAGAATACTTTATTATAATCAATATAATACTTTAATAAATTATAGCAAGCTACAAAAAATTCATATAAAAACTTAAATCAATATAACTATTATTTTATTTTTTAAATAATAATAATTCTGTATATAATAATAATTATACATGTAATAATAATTATTTTATATATGATAATAATCATTTTATATATAATAATAATAATTTTATATGTAATAATAATAATATAATTTATTAAATAATAGCCTGACTAATATAAAAATGAAAATAAATATAACCTACTTGAGTAATATGACCATTAAAAACAGTATTTTTTTATTTTTTCTGTTTAACTATTAATTGTTTATATTTATATTTTGGCTTATAAACCTTTTTATTTAAAGATAATTGTTGTATAATAGCTTGTTTAATAGGATTTTTTTCAGTTTCAATTGTATCATCACAAAGTACAATATAAGTACATTGTTGTTGATTATAGAATTTAATTCCCCAATCTTGCATATTTAAAATATTTGCTAATAATTGATTAGATGAGCTTCCATGAAATATGCATTTATATTTACTTTTTGTTGCTAAGTAAAAGTGTATATGATTTTGAAATATTAAATAAAATTGACTTTCAGTAGCAGGAACTAATACTGTTTGTTTTTCTAATTGTTTATATCCTCTTGGTAATCATTTGTGAATATAATGAACTAAAATATCCTTGAATTGTTGTACAGTATTTTCTGGCAAAGTATCAAGATCTGAATATGAAACATTGTATTTTTTAACAATACTAAGATGCTTTGCTAATCCTCTACTTGTTTTTTATGAATTTCTATATATGTTACACTCAAACTTTGAAACAACTACCATTGCATTACTAAAATTTTAATCAAGCATTATTATTACTATATATACTTTAAATAATCTATCAATATTAAAAAATATTAATAAATTAATATATACTATAGAGATTAATTTTAAAGTAAATTTTAATAACAATAAAAGAGGATAGGTTTTTAATAATAAAAAAAAAGAGATGGGTTTTGAGGTGGGAAGATGGGTTTGACGTAAAAATTATATCGATTTTATTGATTTGGAGTGCAATTTAATATATGCGTCATTTTGTTAATATATAATTTAGCATAAAAATTTTAATTAATCAAATAGTAAATCAGGGGTTTTAATTTGGGTCCAATTCCAAAAATGCATATGAATAAGAACTATAGAATTCAAATAAAAAAAGTTTATTAGGGTTTGGGCCTTATAGCTTAATTTTTAAGTTGCCAAACCCACAGAAATTAAGTCAAGATCCATGGTTCGAGTTGAGCTAGAAGCGAAAAAAACTCTATAACCTACAAGTAAGAAGCCAAAATCAAATATGAAGCCCCATAGAAGTCCAAGTATAGTATGGATTTGATAGGAAATTCCTAGAAGGAGATCTAACTATAGAGAGTTGGCATCACATTTGGCAAGTGGCGTCATAGAAGGTCTGGACAATAGGTTGTGCATATTAATCTGTAGAGATCAAAACTATAGAGAGCTGGCGTTATGTTTGATAAGCAGCGTCATAAAAGGTTTAGAACAAATAGGTTGCATGTGTAAATTCTTGAGGCACTTAGGTAATACCAACAACCCAGGCAGTCTGAGATCTTGTTTGGGAGAGTAAAACTAATGTTCTAAACTGGAAGTAACGAGTAAAGTAGTGGATATAATGACAGATCTGCATAGTAGCACCAACAATCCAGGGGTCTAAGATTTTGTTTGGGAGAGTAATACTAATATTTAAACTGGGAGTGATGAGTAAAGTGATAAACATAGTAAAGATCTGTAGAAAAAGATTGGTTTAATTAAATTCTGAAAAAATACCCCTGGCACCTATATAAGGTAGAAATTGCATTAGGTATTGCATCATATATTACTAACTTCAGTAATAAGTACTATGCTGGTGCATTGTTAGTCAAGGTTCTAGATCTTCTTGTAGCACCAAGCTAGAAGTAAAAACAATCATCAGTAGTACACCTACACGTAAAAATGAATATACTGGGAAGCCTTTGGCACTTATATTACAGACAATACCAACTTTGGTAGCATCATAAAGGCAAGTGGTATACTGCAGAGTAATAACCAGAAATTCCAATAAATCTGGCCATGCCTGTTTGGGAAAGTTGTAGCTTGAGATACGAATCATGTTACGGCAGCACCCAAAAGTTGGCTTAAGATACGAATATGATGATGGTAGCACAACATGTATTCAAATCAAAGTGGTACTAAATCAAATATAAGGCCATGTACACCAATTTGGGAGCAACAAGAGTAAAAAACCACCAGAATGAATCAAATTGGGAGGAAAAGAAAGTTACTGCATGAAGTGAATAAGGAGACAAGATACTAATAACAATACAGAAAACTATATATAGAGAAAAGGTGGGTTGTATACTAGCTAGAAGTTGATTAATAGGGTAATAGCCATTGATTAAATTCTAAGATATAGCAAAAAAATATGACTAAATTGCTTAAGGTGGGTATCATTAGATAAACTAATGTAGCACAACTTAATTTCTGTAATATACAATATGTAATAAGTTCTTAAGTTCCTAAAATTACAGCATATAAGCAATTTAAAAAAAAAAAAAAAAAAAAGTTTATTGATTTTAATCAAATAGTTGTCTAAATATCTTTAATCAAATTTTTAAAAAATTTATAAACAAAAAAGTAACAAAATCGAGATAATCTTCAGTATAACTATGGTACAAATAGCAATTCACATTTTTAAAATACTTTACATAAAATTAAAAAATAAATACTATAAATAAATTAAATACTGAATTAAAGAAAGATATAAATAAAAGTATTATTATAATTTTTTAATAAATGGTTTAAACCAAAAATTTATCACTATTGTAGTTTTTTTGAATCTAGATTCTAGAATCATCTGATTGATAATCATCACTAAATAAGAAGTGATTTTCAATAACCAAATTTGGTATATTTTCTAACTGTAATATATAAAACTCTAACTTTAACTCTAATCTAACCTTAATTTAGACTATAATTCTTATTCTAATATATATATAACTATTTATAAATTTGCTTTAATTAGTTTAAATAGTTATTTTTATATATTACTACAGTAGTTGTAAATCTATACAATAATATACAGGAATAAATTTATAAAAATTATACTAACAAGGACAAATGCCTCAATATGGTTTGGCTAAAGTCTTAGGGTCATTTACGGCAATTGCTAATCCCATATGGATGTTAGGGTAGGGCGGGTTACAAAAGAGGAAGCTAAAGAGTTTAAATGGGTAACCTCTTAGTTGGGTTATAGGTACGGCAACTAGTGTGAAACCTAGGGCAGACTACTTAAATAGGCAATCAAAAGTTGTATGTATAGCTAGTCATACTCTCGTTAGTAATAACCAGAGAGCTTAAATAGATAATCTCCTAGTTAGATTGCAGGTATGGCGGCTAGTGTAGAACCCAGGCAGACTACTTAAATTAGATACTCAAAAGGTGTACGTGTGGCTAGTTGTATCCTCGTGAATCTGATGTAATATCGTAACTATCTGAATAAAGCTCATGCCAATGGCCTAAGTGGTCACCTTTAATATTAAAAAAAAAAAAAAATGTTTACTCAAGTTCGATTATTATAATATATATATTTATATATTGTTATTTAATTTATAACGATCGATCACATGTATACATAGTTATTTATTCTAATGATTTTAATTAAAATCTAATAAAGTAATGGAGGATAAGAGAATAAAATACACTAATTGATAAGCAATTGCAACTGATATGAATATTTTTTTTAGTAGTGAATACTATTTAATCATGAAATTATGAGTGTTTCTAAAGAAAATTAGTTTTCAGGTTTTTAAATTTCGAACTTACCGGACTCAGGAATTGTCCGGTAAGTTAAAAACTTAAAAGCCCAAAGTCAATTTTTTTTTAGAAGCACTCAAATAATGTAATTGAATTAGACGTCATGTAATAATATTTTTTACAATAAACAAATCTTTATTTACATAATGAATTGAATGATGATTATAGTTCTATTTCTTTAATTATGTGTGTACAAGAATATAATGATCATGAAAATTATCACATAGTTCTATTTCTTTAATTCGTGTGTAGAAGAATATAATGATTATGAAAATTATCAGTTTACAAGTATTAGTATCTTTTATTAAATATAAAAGTAACTGAATTTCATATTTCTTTTTTCTCTTAATTTTCTCACCGGCATTATTTTAACGAGTAAATATTTTTTCGCATAATTCTTTTTCATTTCTCCCTATTAACTTTTTTTCTTTCTTCTCTCTGGTAAAGCCAACTTTTGTTCTCATCTACTGACAGGTGGGGATTTTTGTGTGCCAATTGTTTGGCTGCCTAAAATACCTCTTTCTATATTAATAAAAATAAAATGTATATTAAAATATATATACAGTATATTATATAATCCAATATTAATATTATATAAAAAAAAACCCTCAAATGCTTTTTTATACTTAGCGTCTATCAGCACTAATTGGCCCTGCTTAAATCTTGTTTGGGTTGGATTGTATGACTTGCTAGGTAAGAATGAATTTTTTCTTCCCTTATCTTTATTACTTTTACCATTATATTCATTGATATTAATATCATCATCGTCAATATTTATGTTGTCCAGAAAGTCTGCTATGGCAGATGATTGTGAAATATTAGATTAGAACTTTTCAAGACATCCTAATCATTCTTCAAGCAAGGCAACTTGGGATCTCAAAGTCGAATTTTCTAAAATATTAGCAATAATCATTAGCCAATATTCGTATTATAAATAATAAAAACATTATTGCTTACCTTCTTTCAATGCTCTTCTTTTTAAAATTGTCATATGATTAGATTTAAATTAATATTGTATAGCCGATATCTATATCACTCTTATTATTATAATAAAAAAACATATTATACCTTCAACATCCCTAGACCTAGCATGCTCATGTGACCTTCCATGAGAAGATGAGCGAGAATGGTAATCACAAGAATGGTGGGTATGAGAATGACGGGTATGAGAATAAGAACAACAGGTATGTGAACGAGAACAATGTGTATGTGAACGAGAATGACGGCTGCGATGACGAGAGTAGTGTGTACGGGAACGAGGAGAAGGAAAGCGCGAAGTTGAATCAAAAGAAGAATAAGAGCTAGAACGGGAACATGAACGATGATTTTTTCTTGAATTCATCTTTTGGCGTGATCTTAAAGAAGATTCAAAACGGAAAAGAGTTGATTTTCGCCCCATGATATGGTTATCAGATAAAAAAAAACCAAAATTTCCAAAATTTCAAAACTAAAAAAAAAAAATGAATGTGAATAAATTTTTTTTTTTTTCAGTATTAAGGTGACCTTCTTGGCCTGAGGACTTTTTATTAGTAATTATTAGTTATTACAGTTACAATGAAGATACAACTAGCCACACGTACACCTTTTGGGTGCCTATTTAAGTAGTTTGCCCACAGGTTCTACACTAGATATCATACTTATAACCCAACTAGGGAGTTACTCTTTTAAACCTTCTAATCCTAACTGTATTTATAACCTGTCATACTAACCCGGGAACTACAATCTGGCCCGTTCTTTTAGATTTTGCATCCTGCCTTAAGACTTTTGTGACTTATCCTGGGTTTGCATCAACTAATCACTAGCTTGCATTTCTCTGTTGAGTGGATACACAACTATATACAAGATAAACCTACCAGAGCTTTCCCTATCCTATTTTGGGACAACATAGTTATGCGCAGTTGCTGAAACTTCCACTTGCAGTTGGGCTATTACCCATTTAATCGCTTTTGCCCTTATAAGGTTCACTTTCCAATCCCAATACCCATATTCAGACCTTTCCTTTTTCTATTATTTCCTTATTAGTCCATCTCTTACTTCCAACTGATGACTCGAAAGATTCAACTTTGGCTTGGCATTAGATGCCTAGTGCTCTCGTCTCGTCTTGGTACATGATTTCACAGTACATATTCTTTTTCTCCAATTTGGTTGGCTAGTCCTCCAGACATGCTTAGCATTTTTTCGTCCAACTGGTTTCCCGCCCAACTTTAATAGCCCCTGGTCTTGGTGGGTAGGGCCCCTACCACTGGTTTTCCACGCTAGCTAGCCAGGGTTGGTGTACTTCGTAATAGCCTCGCAGATTTTCAGCTTTTCTAAATTGGTAGTCAGGTTGGTAAATCCCTCACAAAGGATCTTGTTGTCATTTAGTTCTTCTCTTGGTCCTAACTTCCAAATTCGGGTCTTTCCTGTAGCACTGTCAAAGATTGTAGTTATTCCTTACTCGGGTCTTCACAAATGGGTTTCGATCATCCTGGTTTCTTGGCATTTCTACACTGAAGCTCCCATTCTAAATAGTGCAACCAAGATTACAGATTTCTAGATCCAATCGATTGATAGATAATCGTTACCTAATACAAATCTATTTTTCAAAAACGTCATCTGTGAGATTCGAACTCTAGATCTGCCGCTTGGTGGGGTGACGACTAGACCACTTCACTAAGCTGCCACACCCCCAACTAGATATTTTATTAAATAATTTAATAGTAGAATTTTTAGTGTTTTAAAAAAAAAATGAGTTAATTTTTCTTTTTTTAAACTTTAAATAAAGTTTACTTAATAGCCGATTAACTGAATTTAATAAAACTTTTTTGTTTTAATTCTGTGAATTCATAAAATTAAAATAAATAAAAAATATCAAATTTGAATAGCTGGTTGTTGAGAAATATTTATTAAAAATAAAAAAATATTAGTTATGGCTTTTTTTTTGAGATATCTAACCTTTTAATAAATATTTTTCAATAACTAGCTATTTTAATTTAATTAATTTTTTTTTTATTTTAATTCTATAAAGCTATATAATTAAAATAAAAAAAATTATATTAAATTTGGATAGTTGGCTGTTGAGTAATCTTTATTCAAACCTGGAAGATTTAGATCATGACGGCCCTTTAATGTTTAATCTGAGGGCTTCCAAATCTTGCGGAGCCGTGCTAGCTGGGCATACAGTGACCGCTGCAGAAGATACTTCTTTAACTATCTCGGACCCCATTTCACCACCTTCTTCTGAGATACAAAACCTCAATTCTCTTACTAACAACACACAAACCCTTGAACTCTTTCTCGACAATGACCTTCTCGAAGACAATAACACTTTTCTT